ACCTATGTGTAAGTAAAGATAGATTTGATGAATGTTTAATCCCTAATACTTCTCTAGCGACAATTGTGCAGAATATGTCTTTAAAAAGCCTCTTCTTTGAGGCAGGAAAAGAAATACGCCAGCACATACCTTTCCTAAGATCTAATCTTAAGATGCCCTGTGGCCTCAAAGACCCCAAATCGCTTATACTACTGCCATCTGTTCACATTCTCACTTGGCACTTTTCAAGTGAACCTTGTATTTCTGCTTTACATAATAAACTTACTTTGTGTCGTTCTGACTTTTCCTGAAATTCTTTTCTGTGGTGCTAAAGCAGATATGGGATCAGAGTGGGTATGCTGTAGCTCCTTTTACTTCAGACATTACAAGTAGGCAAAGGAAAAGAAAGCATAAGCTCCATCATTCCAACTTTGTTTTCTGCCACCACACCTGCCAACCTGATTTCTACCCACGGAACTAATGCAGTAGGAGAGAAACAACAACGGCAAGTCGTCCTCCAACATCCACGAGTGCACACCCTCCACCCCTACACAAATAAATGTAAAAAACAAACAAAAAAAATTTAAAAAGAGAGATGAAAACTTCTAGGAAAAAGTCTTGAAGACTTGGGTTGAGGTGACACTCGGATGGCTGAGCAGAGATGAAGGCCTGTAGTACTCGAACACCAAAATGGCCTCCAGTACAAACTCTCAATACAGAATTAGTTTCGTCTACTTGGGCAATTCAGGGGAAGGTCACACGTGCCAGATCGAGAACAAGATACCCACGTGGCCTGCACTGTTTTCTAGTGTCCTCTTTATTCCCCAATGGCCCGAGCCATTTCCACCACCATTAAAGGGACTGTTGCCCCGCTCGACTCCAGACTGTCCCTCGTGCTGCCGAAGTCCCAAGAAAGTATGAGCCAGTTGGCTTAGAGTCAGGTTCCGCCTTGCACGCGGGAGCGCCAACACTCACCGGCTGCCGCAGGACCCCGACAAGTCGAAGCACAGACATGGCGGTGCACACTTTGCAGGTTTTTCCAGCCCGAGGCCCTCGGGCCATGTCCGGTGGGCGGTCCTTGCAAAGACCCGCCCTTTCCGGCCTTCCGCTTTGGGTCTCCAATGGCTCATCCTCCGTTGTTTTTTTGAGTTCATTCGGTAGTGTGATCGACGCTAGGTTCCCCCCTCTCCTCCCCCACCCCAACCAAAAAGTGAGCACTTAGTATGGCTC